AAAAACAACAACAACAACAACAACAACAACAACAACAACAACAACAACAACAACAACAACAACAACAACAACAACAACAACAACAACAACAATAACAACAACAACAACTGAACGCATTTATTGTTTTGTATCGTATATTATATATTGATATGAGATACATTTCATAAACTGGACGGATTTCAAGAGGAATAATAAAACAGTGAAAAACAACGACTTTAGCTTCTAAACTATATTGAATAATGTTTTAGATAATAAATAGACCTTTTTGTTTTATCACAGCAATCAATTCTTGCAAAAAGGGAGATTACTTACATCTGTGAATATCTGTGAAACACGGCAGTCTTGTGGCCGAGGGCCTGACAGAGATGAGGAAGATTTGCTTATAATCGGCTCAATGGATGTGTTTATACAAGATACTTTAACCCAACGTTGTCTACATGGAGTGTTCGAAACCCTAGTGAATGTGTGAGTTTATCTCAGGATTTTGCGAGAACTTTCCTAAGGTAAAAACTAGAGTACTTCAGGTACATTTTGTGACCTGATCTTGAGTTCCAGAATTATGTAGTAAAAGTTGTTAATAATTTATTGACATCGTTGCATTATTTCGCAATGAACTCCATCATTTACGAAGCACTTCCATCCGCATTATTGTATAATTCAGGCTTAGGTCGTATTTTTTTTAAAGTGTGGGTTCGTGGGGACCTCTGACAACCATAGGGGTTTTAACGCGGGATAAAGGCAGGAGAACACTGATCTAAACGTAAGTTACGTTTAAAGAATACTGAATTCCTTTGCACAAGCCACCTGCTACAGTTGCACTATGTCCAGCCACAGACCACTCTCTTGTAAAACATTGGTGGAGGTATGTGTGCAGGACGGGGTTGAGAGTGGAGGTTGTTTTCTACGGTACGTCTTTACACTTTGTTCAGACAAAGATAGTACAAGACAAGATGGGCCACTCAGCCTAAAAAGTGTCCGCAGGAAGTATGCTCTTTGCTTCAGATGGCGCTGCAGTCTGTTTTGAAGCTCTCTTTCGTTTTTCCAGAAGAAGAATAGGAATAGCACCTCCTTGCGTGCGCAGATCGACTGCTGTTCATCAGCAGTTCGGGTACGTTCAGTGCGGAGTTTTAGGGTTTTTTTTTATTTTAATGACCTCGCGCCCTTCATTCTAAAGTCAAATTAAACGAAGAAAACCATCTCCTTTTCCTCCGGAAGAGGTTTTTTGTCAGCGTAACCATTTTTAAAAAGCGTTCTTCCGAAATGTATCCCAAAACTTGCTAGTTTCACTTTGATTTTTTAAAACTCAAGTAGGGTAACTCTGTTCGCAAAGAGTGCGCTTTTGTGAAGAGGGCGCCACCAAATTTTGAGGACACTTTTTTAATTGGCTCAAAGAGAGAAGTGGCCCATCTTGTCTTGTACTATCTTTGATTCAGACCCATCAACCCTTTTACATTCTGAGCTTTTCGGGGTAAAGTGCTGCAGTCTTTTGGTCTGCCCCTGAACCCTATTTCTAACCCTTTTTTCCCCACAAATTCACAAAGGATGATAAAACTCCTTCCCAAAATTTTCATTCTTTCAATTCCCCCCCCCCCCCCCCCTCTATGTATGTATTATGTAAATGTGTGTGTGTGTGTGTGTGTGTGTGTGTGTGTGTGTGTGTGTGTGTGTGTGTGTGTGTGTGTGCGTGCGTGCGTGCGAGCGTGCGTGCGCTTTGGTACGTGTGTGTGTCTATTTGTTTATCATATTGATTCTCTCAATAAAATCATTTGCTTTCTTCTTCCTCATAATATAGTATTCTCTTCTTTACTCTAGCCGAGACGATTATTGAATTGCCCCTCTCACGAGGAAGGCGAGGTCCCACTCGACCCCTTCAGCACCTCCAAAAGCAACAGGACACCCCCGATAGCTTCTAAAAGCAGGGCCACGATTGCCAGGCCGAAGGAGTATCCAAGCTCGTCGTCTGATCCACTCACATTAGGGTCGTCTTCGAACTCCGCCCCAAAGATGATGACGGCAAGCAGCCAGCACCCAGCTGTTCAGGAGTAGACGGAGAGGAAATAATTACTCAGCTGGTAATTCGAAAGGATTAAAGAATGTCTACGTGCTAAATTAAAAACGTATTTGAGTGCTCATACAGAGACGTGGATGAGCGAAAAAAGAATGTATGATTAAATGAATGAATGAATAACTGAACGAACGAAATGATGACTAAATATATGAATGGATGAACGGATGACTCAATGAATGAATGAATGAATGAATGAATGAATGAATGAATGAATGAATGAATGAATGAATGAATGAATGAACGAATGAATGAATAAAGGAATGAATGAATGAATAAAGAAAAAGCTAATGGCAATGACTGTATAAAAGTCAATCAATGATTAAGTACACGTGGAAAACGTCTAATATGCAAAAAAGAAAGATTAAATTAGTTGATAAATAGTTAATATAGAAATAAATATCAAATCGCAAGGTTAATTTTATGATGACTGTTGCATACATACATAAATTCAGTTGAGCCAAAGAACATTTAAACAATCAAGTATGTACACACACATAAACATATAAATTATGCATAAATTAAAAAATGAATACATAAATTAATAAATACACAGCAATACCTAAGCCAACCAATTTATGAGTAAATATATAAATGAATAACCCTATACGGGTGGTGAAGCAGATCTAAATAATAAAGGCTGCCATTCCCATAATTTGCTGATGTTTGTTTCAGATCTGGCACTCCATGATGATAATGACGACGATATGAATGCCAATAACGTCCGTCAATAAATAAATAAATAAATAAATAAATAAATAAATACATTAATTATATGAGCCAATGAACGAAAAAAGGAATTTACGAATAAACGAAAAAGTGAATACCCAAATCAAATACCTGTGACAAAGCAGATGATAGAGGCAGCCATTCCCACTTCCTTGTTGCTCTTGCAGCTGTCCCAGAAGATGTACAGGACGATGAGGAGGCACGCAACATTGATGCCCACGAAGCCGAAGATAGCGAAAGCTTGGACAGCCCCAACCCATTCTGAGGGCCAGACAGGAATAGATTAACCACAATTGTATTTTTTTAAAAGATCTAAAAAAAGATCAATTACATACATACATACATACATACATACATACATACATACATACATACATACATACATACATACATACATACATACATACATACATACATACA